AATATTTCATTGTCATCGGTCCTTAATAAGTATACCAAATTTAGAGTTAATCCGACGTTTTGAAGGGGGTCAATATCATGTTCAAAGATTCCGTTACAAACATACATACGTCTGAAGCTAATAAAAGCGTATTAATAAGAAAGCCATACGTAAGTATTGAATCAATATTATTGAGAAATAATATTGTTGAATTAACATAAAGCTTCAACTTAATATTTACACTGATGTGCCTATAAATCGATCGTTTCATAATTACTAACGAACATGACATGGCTGACTTAGAGGACACCAATGTAAATATTTAAGAATGCAACACGCCCAACTTTATTCTACATCCATGAACAGCCTCGTGCTTTGCAGGCTTTAGATGGGCAGATAAACCTATCAGGTTTAAACGGTTACCCAAACCTACTAAGGCCTAAATTTAATAGTGGATGATGACGCCCTAATTTTCAGTGGAATTATGGCTATTCAATCGAAAATGGCCATAATTTTCCCCTACCTAATCCTTGGTAGGCTCACGGGCTATTTCAACTACGCGCGGTCTGGTCCTTAGCTCACAGCAGTTTTTAATCATGTTTACGACTCGTAGAAGCCTCGAGAACACCCTGGTGTTTTATTTGCCGCCACAAATTCAAAACTTATCATCATCAGTTAAAGAGCAAGTTACTTATAATAAATTTAGAATTATCATTATCACGATATACTCGTAGATGGCACGCAGATACCGTAGGGAATTAGAGCCATAACAATCTTCAGATCTGAAGCCACTTTGAACTCTCAATATCGAAAAGCTTTGGTTTTCCTTCAGGAAACAGATAAGAGAATTATACGTACAGATTATGATATTCCAGTACTGACTCTGAAAATTAATTGTTTATGAATAGGACCAAATGTTAAGGCGCTCTGAATGAATCAAAATATTATTACCCAGCTAAAGAAATAGGGAACTGTAACTCTTTGACACTATTTGCACTTTAAATCTATATATTAATACGTGAAGCAAAAACTTTGTACCCCTTTTTACGAAAATAGCGCGGACGGAGGAGTATAAAATTTTCCACGCTTATAGAGAATGAGTGCAGAAGGTTAATTTTTTTTAAAATTATGCATAAAAAATACATTAAATCAATAAAAAAACATTACACATACTACCATGTATTTGATACACACGCGCATGCATACTATTTGTTTATTATCAAACTTTTCTTATTGCTTATAGTCTGTGATCAAATTGAGAATAAATTGAATATTGTTTATATTTATTAATATTTGTCTAAAGTGTAGTTTTCGCGAAATCTGTGATTATAGAAGTATAATAATCTTTGACAATAGAATCATAATAGTGTAAAAACTTATAATTTCAATAATTATAGTCGAATTTCGACTACCGGGGGACCATTAGTATATATTAATAAGTTTGGTTCTCGTGTCAGGCGTAAAGTATCTGTTCATGTTATAGGTAGAATTAAAACTATTCATACATACATATGCAATACAAGTGATCTCGATATTTAACTATGTATGAGTTTTAAACCGACTACATACATTGGAATATTTTAACCTTGACCATATGTAGGAGAGCACCCTTCGTGATATTACTTATTAAAATGTATTAATATTTGTTAAAAATAGATTGTATATTTATTAGGTTACGATACGATATGCAAGCTTTGAGATATAACCAAGAGACTTTTGTTTCCTGTCTCGTTTGTGGTGTACTGTAGTTAGACAGCACATTGGAATAAAGGTTAGTAGTCAAGAAATTAATCTTAATATAAAATGTATTATAATATTATATTATATATTATAAAAGCGACGAGCCCGCGACGCTAAACGATGGCACAACCTCAAGAGGTCTCTCTACAAACCCCTCACGATCGCCTTCGGCTTCATCCTCGGCGGCATTATAATATAATATACTTTTGTTGATTTGTCATTAGAGTAGAGAGCTAGAATAATAACAGACAAGCAGATCAAACGAAGTTTTTTTAACAAAGCTGAGACTCGTAATTCGCAAAAATAATTTGCAATAAGATTAAAAAAATTGTACCGTGGTCTTATTCAATAAATTATCGAAGTTTTATGTACCGGCTAAAATTTATTACTACAAAAATTAGTATTACAAATTGTTCGATAGAACTAAAACTCTCATTAACAGTTAGATAATTATTAAATTAGCCAGTAACAGTATTGAAAGAGGTACTTTTGACACCCTTGAAAAAAGTTTTCGCTTTTGATGTGAAACATCTATAGCCGCACGCACGTAAAACCGATTTCTGGCGTGGCGACGCATGCCGCGGCGACGCGTCGCCACGCTATATGATGGTGTATATATATACAGTCTATATGCAGTAGTGTGTACGGTGTAGCAACGCGTCGCCATGCGCAATCGACTGTGCGATTCTCTCTGTGTTTTACTTGAAAACAAATTATTTTTTCGTAATATTTTATTTTATCATTATGACATATTTAGTTCCTATCACAATCTGTTCTTTTCTAAATGTTACTTTTACAAAATAATGTCGATGTTTCACATGTGCCAGGCGTTCCGTGACGGCTCACATTTTTATCTCTTACTTGAGTGAACGAGTTCTAATTACGAGTTAAATTAAGGTGTTAAATGATTACCGCAGTTCATAGACATCAACAACGTAAATGACGAAGACAGATCCAAGGATCTCGTGAATACTATGTCTCAGTTTTACAATACAACGGCTGCCCCATCCTTCAAATTGAAACGCATTACCGCTTCACGGCAGAAATAGGCGATGAGGCTTTACCGCCAGTAGAAAAACGTGGACGCATGTATGAATGCACACCGGTATGCTTGATAACAAAAGCAGTATTTGAGGTAGATGCGGCGCAGTGGACAACAAGGCGTGTGAGCACTACTATGAGATTTACAACTACTACATCTACAACGTAAACGCGCCACCCACCTTGAGATATAAGTTCTAAGGTCTTAAGTATAGTTACAACGGCGACCCCACCCTTCAAACCGGAACGCATTACTGCTTCCCGGCAGAAATAGGCAGGGACCGGCCCGCGCGGACTCACAAGAGGTCCTACCACCAGTAATTACGCAAATTATAATTTTGCGGGTTTGATTTTAGTACACGATGTTATTCCTTCACCGCGGAAGTCAATGATGAACTTTTACTGACTACGTATTTCATTAGAAAAATTGTTACCCGCCTGAGATTCGAACACCGGTGCATCGCTCAACACGAATTCACCAGACGTCTTATCTTTTAGGCAAACTTTCCACATTACTGAAGATATAAATATAAATAGATATAAATATTAATATTTGTAGGTTTTTTTTATAAGACAACCTTACTCGAAACAATTACCTGTATATTATAAGACTTCGTATAATCGAGGGTACTTTACTGTAACATCCGTCTCCATCAAAATACGCTACCAATATAGACGGTACATGCTCAATCGAAAGATTAACATCAAGTTACGGACATTTTGGATTCATAATATAAAGTTGTTGTTTTTTTTTACGAAAACATCTGAAAGCGCATCATACATTTAAATCAGAATGTGATGAGATTTCCCTTTGACGTGCATAATGTTTTATGTGAAATAATGTTGTTTACTCAACGCAGATTTAAAAGCACATATGTATGTGCCTACCTACATTTTAAAGTAACTAAACTCGTTTTTTTCTTTTCTTAGATGTGTGGACGAGCTCACAGCCCACCTGGTGTTAAGTGGTTACTGGAGCCCATAGACATCTACAACGTAAATGCGCCACCCACCTTGAGATATGAGTTCGATTAACGATACTTTGAAATGAAACAGGAATATTTTTCGCAAATTTTCCATTAAAGTATAGAGACCGATATTTTCATTTTCCAAAAGACACATAATATATATGTGGTCCGCTCACGATCAAAGAACGAGTGGGATTCTAAGTACAATGGTCGAGATATTCAAACGCTTTTCGATCGGTTATAATTTCGTAGACAGAGCGTACTTACGGGAATTCGCGAACGTATCTTGGATACGTTTGGATGTTTACATTCTTTGTTGGAGTTTAATCGGTTCGTTCGCCTTGTGCATTATTTCATACTAAGATCTGGAGATAAAATTGGATGCGCGAATTAATTTATTCAATTTTCTCATTTTTTGTATCGGCACTTTACATTATGCATAACTTTCATGCGGTGAAAACTTGTCTTAAGTTATTGATATGATTCGTTCCCTCGAAGTAAGCTACAAATTCTTGGTTTTTTCTTTTTTTGCTTCAAAGCACTGTTGATATCTCAATAGCTTTTTTTTATTATTCTTCGACGAAAGTATATATTTCTACTATTATTTAGAATATCGTATTCCACTTTAAAGCATAAGGCCTCGCTTCCCATTCCTCCGAATTTCACAATTTTCTGAAAATTTTAACCTGTGACCAATCCTACCTACTCTTCATGTTACCATTTAGTAACCTTAGGGGCTATTCCAACTAAGCGTAGGCTGGTAGGTGAGCTCACGGGCTCAACCTGAGGTAACTTGCTAACACTCCAAGCAAGAGCAGTGCTTTGAATCTCAATCTATCCGGCTATACACTGAGTGCGTTATATCTATGGGCGTAATTACCAATAACAAATGGCAATGGAACAAAAATCTATACTAATATTATAAAGCAGAAAAGTTTGTTTGTTTGAACGCGCTAATCTCAGGAACTGCTGGTCTCATTTGAAAAATTCTTGCTATGTTAGATAGGCCATTTATTGAGGAAGGGTAATAGGCTATATAACATCATGGTAAGATCAATACAAAAGTGGAGCAGCAATAAAGAATGTTTCTAAATAGGGGTTTAAATAGCTCCTTAACATTCTATAATTAAAAAATATTTTCACTTTCTACGTAAATGAAGTGAGGGGTAAAATTTAACGTTATGCCAAAGTAACTATTCCGCGCGGATGGAGTCGCGGGCAAAAGCTAGTATATTATAAAACCATATAAACGGTTTTATGTTTTTTTAACAGATGGAAAGCGCTGATCGCCAGTACATCCTGACTCAGGGACCGCTTGCGTTCACCGTAGGCCACTTTTGGCTGATGGTCTGGGAGCAGAACAGCCGCGCCGTCCTAATGCTGAACAAGGTCATCGAGAAAAACGAGATCAAGTGTCACTGGTACTGGCCCCATGGAAACGGCGAACAGCACAAGATGGTGCTACCAGATGTGAATCTTAGCGTCGAACAGATAAGCGAGGAGGAATGCCCAAACTACTCCATTCGGGTGCTTAAGTAAGTTTAATATTATTATTATTTTTTGTCATAAGTGCTAAGGTCTCGAAACGGGGTTGCTCCAGTGTAACTACTAAGTTATATGTATAATACCTACTAGTTCTAGTCTTTTTTTTTCTACCTAAGCTGAGAGCCTTGAGAGGCTATTTCAGTAACTTAACTAGTAAGTGAGCTCACGGGGCTCAAACCTGACCACGTTACTAACACAAACCCTAGCAAGAGCCGTGCTTCGCAGAATCTACCACTGGATCGGAAACGCGACCCACCGAGAAGATCCGGCGAGAAACTCAGTGGGCTGTGTCTGAGGGGGAGTTCTAATCCTGATTCCAATACATACTTAACTCATACTTCATGTCATAGTCTGCTGCTGAAGATATTTGAAAGGCTGATCGATGTTTTGCATCAGATACGTTGACGTGTAGCGCGGCTGCGCAAGATTCAGAGCTGATTTAAAAAAAAGCTAAATTTTGTATTTTGTTCAAAATTTATGTAACTAAACTGATAATAATTTTATTCATACTCCTGGATCCGTACTTATCGAATAAACAATTCTTGAGAATAATTTCTCATTATCTGAAGTACCTACACATAAAAAATAAAACAACAACAAATTTCGTAAGAAGTAATTTCGTATAATTTAGTAAGAAGTCAGCAGCAACAGGAAAAGCTTACACGCGACGCTCCCGTCAACACTTATAGGAATTGCTTCGATAAAATTTTACATGGATTTTGAATCTTCAATTTTGCTCGAATTACCGATCGATTGCACGATTTGATAGAGCCGCTGCAATGTGTACATGTATGCTCTTTAGCGTTTAAATTTACGTATCGCACCAAAAAATATCAGTCAATTACTCACATTTGTAGAAGGCACCAGACCTCGTGGAAGGTTGTCCATGCGATAGACTGATCAAATCAAGTCGGCAGTTAGCGTTTGTTGACAAGATTCACCACAAACCGGGAGGAGTGGCGATTTCTCGTGAAGCACATAATATCTGCCCACAGCAATGATACTAAATGACGACCACGAGCGCTCTGACAAGAGTGATACGACAAAGAAAGAAAAACTCACATTTGTTTAGGCAATACAATGTTGGTTATGTTTTTGATTACCGGGTGCATGTCATGGCCCCTGGAGTCTGGTTATCGGTTCTCATCGACATCACGAAGTGTATACCAACATTGAGGCACAAGATCAAAGTCTCGTTTGTATTCCAGGTTTGACTCTTTACTTGGAATTCCAACACTAACCCATGACTGCGACAAAACTAAGCAGGATGCACCTACACGCTTGCACGAATAGGGTGTATTCTGCCGCAAATCCCAACACTTAGATAACGTATAAAAAAAATATGTATTTCATAGCTCCAATGCAATGTGTACGTACCTAGATAGCGTGCAATTTTTTCACGACTACTACTACATATGTATATGCTGAGCACTCCAACAGCTATTAGCTGGGATGCCTGAAGAGGAATTGCGTATCTGTCAACCAATCAATCACATACAACAGCAGAACAGTATGTGTTAATTAACAAACAGCGATCGATAAATCGGACAATTTCATTGGGGCGATTTCATTGCAGATTTCCTTTCGTTCCTTAGTCATTCCTCGTTCTTTGTCTGATAAGGCTATGCGATCTGGAGAGCTCCGAGAGTCGCGAGGTCATCCAGTTCCATTACACAACTTGGCCCGACTTCGGAGTGCCGTCTTCTCCTCACGCATTCCTCGAATACTTGAAGAAGATCCGCGATGCTGGCGCTTTGGAGAACGATGTTGGGCCAGCGGTCGTGCATTGCAGCGCCGGCATCGGTCGCTCTGGAACGTTCTGTCTCGTTGACTCCACTATGGTTATGGTGCGTATTAAGGTGTTTTGATCACGTAACTTTTTATTTTAGTGTTATTCACCTAATTTCATCTTAGAAAGTAACTAGCTGTACCCGTCCGTTTCGCTGGGCATTTAAAATTAACATTATTATTTTATCACCCCTACAAAGATTCTCTCATCATTAACGCCCCCGCAACTGGTGTAGGGAGTCCGACACTCATATAAATATTAGCCTATCCATTAAGTACATGTATTTTCTACATGGATGCCAAGTTTCAAGTCAATCGGATGCATGGTTCAGTAGTTATAACGGAACATCCTTAAAAACCACTGTAGAATTATATATTATAGAAAGTAATGTCGTAAATATATTTCGCTATTGCATAGAAAATTGAATGAGCTCACGGCAAAGCTGGTGTTAAGCGCTTATCGGTACCGAAAGAATATCACAATGTGAATTGTGCCACCAAACTTGAGACATGAGGTCTTAGTTGCATAGTTTAATGGCTGATTGAACCTTTCAAACCTGGATGCACGACTGCTTCGCGACAGAAATAGGCAGCATGGAGGCTCAATGTTGAGGAGACACAAGGATTGTTTTAACTAGAGCAGCCATAAGCCGTTTCGTTCTCATAATATATTATAAATCTTTTAATTAGACTCGAAGAACATTATTCATGTTCCACATACAAATCAACAAAACCGACAATTGTTTTTCTTGATTTATTCCAAACAGATACAAAAGGCCGATGTGAAGTCTATCAACATCGAGCACATTATGCTTGAGATGCGCAAGTATCGCATGGGTCTAATTCAGACACCTGATCAGCTGCGTTTCTCGTACGAGGCCATCATCGAGGGGGCGAAGAGGGAGGACCCCAACTACGTAAGTATCGTAGTGGTCAAAGTACACAGGACTTGATCAACATCACTACATAGTATAAAACAAAGTCGCTTTCTCTGTCCCTATATCTGTCCCTACGTATGCTTAAATCTTTAAAACTACGCAAGGGATTTTGATGCGGTTTGTTTTAATAGATAGAGTGATTGAAGAGGAAGATTTATATGTATAATAACATCCATTAAGTAGTGGAGAAATCAATAATAAATTACAGTTTCCGAAGCGAAGCGAGGGCGGGTCGCTAGTCTGAAATAAAGGAAAAAGCGCTGCCTTAGGATATGATTTTTAGCTTTACGAATTCTGTACCCGATAGAGCCTAACGACTTATTTTGCATATAACCCGATGTTAGTCTCGCTAAAACTCGAGAACGGCTGGACCGATTTGGCTAATTTTTTTTGGTCTTGAATTATTTGTGGAAGTCCAGAGAAGGTTTAAAAGGTAGATAAATATGAAAATTTTTGGAATTAAATAAAAACAACAATTTTGTGTTTCCTTTGATGTGTCACCCGTCGGAAGGATTCCTTTTGTTTGTTTTAAGTTTATTTTATACTAGCGACCCGCCCTCGCTTCGCTTCGGAAACATTAAAACACACATGAAACAAAAAAATAAAATAAAAAATAATTAAAAAAAAGTAGCCTATGTTCATCAGGGACAATGTCGGCTTCTAATGGAAAAAGAATTTTTCAAATCGGTCCAGTAGTTTCGGAGCCTATTCGAAACAAACAAACAAACAAATCTTTCCTCTTTATAATATTAGTATAGACAAAAGTTTAGGTTTTTTATTTATCGATTGAGGCACTACGAAGTCTACCGGGTCAGCTAGTTTTGCATATAACCCGATATTGGCCCTACCTAATAAATTGTTGATAAGTTAATTTTCGTCCGACAGGTACCTTCCAATATGGTCGAGAGCGTGTACTCGCCGGTGACTGACGTCGAAGATGATTGTCCTCCCCCGCCTCCTCCGCGCGGTGAGAGCCTCTGTCGCCCTCCTGCTCGTCCCTTGCCCGCGATTCCTTCAAGCATGTCTCTAGGTAAGGAACCTGACGAACATCAATATACTAACAAGAATCTATATTTCACTCGATCTCTCCGCGGTGTGCTTAGTACGTGTTTTTTAACGTTCTCGATAGCGTAAAAGTTAACTCATATTTGTATGGAATAGGATCATTTGCCTACGTTTGCCGCTAGGGGCGCTGTTCCAATTTCATACAAAATTGGCTTAACTTTTACGCTATCGAGAACGTTATGAAACTCGCACCAAGCACAGACGAGACGCGATAATAAAAAAAACGTTATTATTAAAACCTTAAACTCATATGAGATCGAAATATTTAAAACTTTAGACACGTAAATAATAAATATATTTAATACGCATTGCATCGACTCACCCTCCGATGTAAACTTGTAAATCGGTTGTATTCAAAAAATTATATTGATTAGATTTAACAACGGTAAGAGATTGTCAATTACAAGTTTTTCGATTTCAAACTTTCAATTGGCTATTAGATTATTTTATCCAAATCCAAATTATTTTCAAAATTATTAAAAATTTTTTTACATTTTTTTTTATTATTATTGGCACATAGAATCTTTTTTTTTTCTAAATGGAAACGTAGTAACTTTCATCCGAGCTCATACGATTGTCGTGGTGACTAAAATAAAATTAAGATAAAATTCATATGAAAACATATAAGTTATTTAAAAAAAAACTGTATTTTATTTAGTTAACACGATAAAGAGAGATTCATGCCATTTTTCATGAGTCATGCGAATACATTACATTATAATAATAAAAACATAAAGGATATTATGTTTTCGTGATTACGGGCTGTTAATTCACAGTTGACAGCCCGTCAATAATACCATTGACTTGACAATAACCTGGTTGCTCGTCTGCCTACGCATAACGGCTTCGACGAATTTAAAAAGTTCAAATTTTAAACGTTTATTTCATACTTAACAAAAATAATAATAATAATCAAAATTTTCTTCTGTACGGTCAATGTTAAAAAGCTTAAATAAATTGAAATTGAATTTTCTTCGCGTGATTAATGACTGTAACGTCATACGTCAACGTTGCAAACTCTAATTATTAAATTTATACATTAAAAGTTTATATTTTATGTACACTACAGTACATGTACTGTGACGTAAAAATGTGTTTTATACGAAACATAAATTAATTAAATAAATAAATCGTTTATAAAAATATAAATAGCGTGGACCCAATAGTGGAACGTCACAAAAGGACCTCACTTCTCAAATAAAACAACGAACATATCACTTTTCTGTAATACGAATCTATGTGTGTTTTCTCATAACAATGATAAATAATACGTAATAATTGAAAACATCAGTAAATGAATATCGTATTTAATGTAATTCGTTGCAAAGCGATATCTGACTCTGTGAATTCTATTATTACATTATATGAATAATATACTAACGAGTACACGACGAACACACAGGACGTCTTTACGTCATTTAGAAAGTTTCGTAAAAAAAATATGATCAGATTTAGATGATCGAAAGCAACAATAACTTAGTTTAACATTTAAGGAAAATAAATAAAACAGGGAAACAAATTATCACAACGATGTCCTTTTTTTAAAAATATTGATATACAATATTCACTAGTTATTAGCATTAACAACGTTTATTTGCATATCGATGCTTTTGCAGACAATTTGAAACACACATTTTATTTGTTGCAAGCTTTGATTACAAGAACCAACCCCGAATTGTCGTTACTACGAAACTCACAGCTCGTATATTTTTCCGCAAAAATTAAAAAAATAGCGTAATGAAAACTCTATTTCGAATTTTCATAATATACCCAAATAGGTTTTTTTAGGGGGTTTGTGTATCTATTACACCTAATCGTCTGCCGTGTCCGCAATGATATCTCCGTTCTTTAGCTATAATAACACTCCGCTTCAAATAAGTAACCATTCTGAGACTTTAGAACTCATATCTCAAAGTGGGTGGCGGCATTTACGTTGTAGATGTCTATGGGCTCCGGTAACCACTTAACACCAGGTGGGCTGTCAGCTCATTCACCCATATAAAAAATAAATAATTCATTAATAGGGAACTAATTCGTTTTGTATCTTTTGTACACACGCAGACTGTTTCTGCATTCGAAAAAGAAAGTAGGATTGAGTTTTTATTCATGAGCGCTCATGTACCGGTAACCGAACCATTATATCGCTGCATAGTTTAAATGTCGAATTAAATGTTGTATGCGCGAGTAATTATGCATTTTCATATAAACAACAGGCCCGTAGCGTTATACGATCGAGAATGGTCACTGGTTTGACGTACGTTTCAGTGTTGCCGCGAACTGTTTCATGTTAATCGAGCCGCGTGCCTGTTTCGGTGTTGTGTCTATACGCATAAGGTGCAAAATTGGGTAGCCTTTTTAATGGATATATGTGTTTTCTGAATTTAAAACCTAAATTAAAGAGAGAAAAGGCTATTTCACGTTGAACTTCAAAGATAGATCAATCCGTTCTCGAACCACGCTTCGTTATATAGAATTTTTAAATAGTAATGCATTTATTTATTAATGAGACATCGTACATATTTGTTGAATTCAGTAGAGTCGTGAACACCCAGTCAACTGGTCACGGAATGCGCTTTCTTATTATTATTATTATGATTATTATTATTTATAAATAATATTTTTTTATTTGACCTTTATATTTTATTCGTTTTATTACAAGTATTCTTATTAATTTGTATTGTTATGATTTAGCTCGACCAGATGGCGCGAGTGGAATCGACTAAAGCGTGGCTCGCGAACCGTAGTTAGAGTTATTTTTTCATAACAATTGTACTGTGTTGCCTGCCGATCTATCATTGGAGTGTAACGTTAATTTCGCGCCTTGTGTTTTGTTCTTTCAAACGTTCTTTCACGTTTGATTTTTTTACAGGCGAACTTCACCTGAGCGCTCCCGTCGAGTCTTCGAGCTCTGACGAATGTCCCCCCACTCCCCCAGAATTAGAACTACCGCCCTTCTCTTCAGCCGACGAAGATGAAGAACAGTCCGCCGTCCAGCCCGAGAGGTATCAGTGCTGATCAATTCCGTTATTACTAACCGTTGTGTTTAGTTGACGACACAATCATCGCTTTTAATTATTATTCTCATAATCCTCTCGCAGGTCTGCTGGAAGAGATTTCTTAAAGAAATAAGCAGTGCCTTTGTACATAATTTTTCTATTACTCTGTACTATGTCTTCGTTTTTGTGAAAAAAAAAAAAAACATAAACATAGTTTCCGAGGAAGATTACCTAATAGACAGGATCTAACTATTTCAAAACAATCAAAAAATTTCTAGCCGAGATACATATTCACGAAGGAATCAAAATAAAACTTGGAGAATGCAAAAAAATACACAATAAACCAAAGGTAAATTGGTACTGAAACAACACTAAGAAATACCAAAGTCCTGCTCATTTGTACTACGAAGCACCCATGCGTTCTTGTTCGAGAAGTAACAACCCAATCCAAACGCCCACCACGTCTAACCATTGTTCAATACGGCTTCTGGTAACTGGCCAATATTTGAATCGTAAATTGTTTGCCCTCCTAAGTTTCGATCGGCTTACTTGGCAAGTTGACACCACGGTCCGTGAAAACCAGTATTGCCAATACATTGACGGAATTTCCCTCGAAGACTTGTGTATTCTTATTTATGCACAAATTACTATTATATTTATTATCTGTGGTTTTGACAAAGGCTATCGTGATGAGCAGGGCCGCATTTAAACTTAATGCCGCTCCTGGGCACCGGCAAAAAAATCCGCCCCAAAACCCCCTAACAATTTTATTTAAACTTGTAGTTTATATCGACGCTTGAAAGGCAATCGTGACTAAGCGACAATGCGTGAACTTTACTGTAGACTAATTTAAAGTTGAAATTAATTTAAAATATACCTGAGAAATACCTGAAAAAATTCTATTTTAACGAATCTAGCTGCAGGATTGAAATTATTTTAATAGACCTAGAAATATATTTTTTTTGCGCATCGAATATGGTTATTGCCTATCATTTATGTATAAAGCAGTTATTGTCGCTTAGTCACGTTTGCCTTTCAAGCATCGGTATATGTATTTTATTTCAAAAAATTAAAATAACCAGTTTATTGCAGAAACTTTATTATATATTTCAGAAACATAATTTTTTTTTTTTTTTTTCTATCAGTTATAAATGTTTTTCAATTTCAAAATTTTGCCGCCATGGGTACTTGCCCCGACGGCCCCTAGTGTAAATCCACCGCTGGTGATGAGACGTAAAGGCGATGCTTGTTGTTTCCAGCAGCAGCGGCGCCAAGACGGAGACACTGCGCCGTCGTCGCATCCGCGAGCTGTCCGAGCGCGTCTCTCTGATGAAGCGACGGGCCCGCGACGCCGAACGATGGCACAACCTCAAGAGGTCTCTCTACAAACCCCTCACGATCACCTTCGGCTTCATCCTCGCCGGCATTGTCATTTATTCATACGTCAAACACTAATCAAACACTAATGCAATTACATAAAACAAACTCGATACACCTGGAGGAAAATACGCGCCGGAGCGTTCGCGTATAGCAAAGCATAATAGCGCGAAATTCGACGTTGACTATCACATAAATAAGTTAGAGATGCCAGCTCAAACGTTTTTCCCTAAATATAGGAAAAAAAAGAACCAAAAATTATTTTCTAGGGGAAATATGTGTTTGATAAACGAAGGAGCATGGAATTGAACGTCATATAGAAGATATGTCCTTCATCGAATAGTAATTGGCAACAGTGATTGCACCGAAGTAGGAGCATCGGTTTTTGTATAACTCGCACGATGCGGTGGGATGCTACTCTAGGTTCAATCACTGAAACCCTTTAATCTAAACCGCTAACTTATACGCGAAGGCTCCCGGTCAATCCTTTACGAAATGGTTATCTTTACTTTTCAATTTGTTCGTCGGCAATCAATCGAGAACACTGTGTTGTGACGAAATACGAGGACTCTGTCTGCCTTGCGTTACTCCTTCGAATGTCAAAACAACAACAAATTGTTAAATATTTAAGTATAAAAACGAAACGCAGAGTTAATGTCGTTTTGTTGGCAACACACGGCCGCCATAGTAGCGAGGTGACCATTTTGATACTTTTATAAATGAAATAATCACGCCGTTTCGGTATAAAGCTAGAGCTGTGATTCCTTCTTTTTTTAACGAGTTATCGTATTTTATTAATTTTAATTTATATATATTTTTTATCAACTCATTTGGTCGTATATTATTCTTATTAAATAAAAAAGAAACTTGTCAGCATTACGATAATTCATAACTCTACAGTTTATATACTTTAAAATCAAAAGCTTGAAATTTACTCTTTGTTACGGTAATACAATATATTTGTATCTCATTCGACAAAACTAAGAGAAGGCAAATAGAAAACGTAAAACAAAAAATAGTTAAAACAAACATTGATCACTAAAAAAAGTTATTCCAGTATAAATACAACCCCGTGACGTCACTTGACAGTTCCGAATGTAACGTGGTCCTTTAAAAAACACCAAGACGAAGTCAGTATGAAAACTTCCACGGCTTTAATTAACTTATATATTAGAGAAATAGCGTAACCAAGAAAATGTGTTTTCTTCGTTTTAGAGAAATTTTAAACTAGGGCGCCTTAATGACTATTTCTCTATCCATTTGGGCCGTTTAAATTACGTTTCACTGAACTAATTAATTGCGGCTGATAAATAAATTGCTAATTTAAAAAACAAATAAGCGTGGAAACAAACACAAATGCATCACAAAACAACATTGAAATAATTATTTGTATCATTTGGTTAAATGGAAAAAAAAATAAAGCATGTAACATAATATACTATAAAACATTTTTGGAATTACTCATGAAGCAAATTTTACTAAATCAGCTAACGTAATTTATATCGTTTAGTTTAACCCAAACTTTGAATGAAGAATTTTGAATTTTGAAGAATTTTTTTATAACACAGTTCGCTGCTGATTGGTAGCATAGTGGAATGGTTCTGTGAATGCCTAGAAACGATTTAATATTCGACTTTAGTTATAGGTTATATTTTAAATTAACTTTATTGTTTGTAAAAAAAACTTTGACAATAACTATATCCGACATGAAATCACGGATTTATAGTAGTACCGGATTGCGCATTTTCATTGACCATTCGAATTTATACCCTCAGTGGTAATGTTAAAGCTTTACTGTATATTACATGTGCAGTTAGAAAATCGGGTCAGGTGAGAAGTCCCGAAGCAGTATTGTGTTCTTATCTAACAAGTTGCCTTCCCTAGTAAATCCTAAGTAAAATATTCTTTGAGTTTTTTTTAATCGAAATTTTTTAATACGTTTTACAAAAATACATATTTTTCTTTTTTTAAATTAAACCTAGTATCGTCAAAGAATGTAGGTTTTATTATTTATTTATTTTTTTAATTAACGAAAATCCAGGAAATCATAATGTTTTTCATAAAGATAAAATCAAAGTGGATAGCTGTTTTTGGCATCAACGTTTGAAGCCGTTGATGATGATAGCGTTTCATAAATGTTATTCTCAAATTTAAAATGTTAGATATTTACTGCTTTAACCTGATTACGACTTATCTCTTTACAGGATAGCTGTTTTCGTTGAATAATTTTATAGTAGGGTGACCATAACTCATGGCGCTGTCTGGATCACTATCGATAATATACTGTGACCAATTTATATTCTAGTTGATTCACAAAAATATATACAAATAAAAATCGAAATTAAGCGAAACTATCTTAAATTAACTATATTCAACAGATTTTTCCGATCTGAACAAAGATATACAATATAATAGTAAATATAGTTATATACCAAATTATTTAGTTACAAAAAAGGTTTCAGTGTAAAAAAGAAACTTATTAATTTTTTTTTTGGTATAGAATTATATGACTAATTAATAACTAACGCATTAACCTCGTGAAACCTGAACATAAAAGGAAACATAAATAATTATCAAACACGCCTCAAGTTTCGGGCACAGTGTAAAAATCTAACAATATTAAAAAAAAAAAAAAACATAAACAAATAATATAATTAAACTAGATAAAACTAAAAAGACAATAATATTACAGTAGCAGTAGTTAATAAATAATATAATTGTTAGAAAGTACGAACGATTCGTGGGCAACCTATTAGAAAGAGATGCATTACCACTTTCGAACCTCTCATTCGACTGATTTTTATAATTTAACTGCAATGTTTAGTTGCATTACCAGCTAAAGCATAAAATGAATTAAACATTTTTAGTTAATTCTGATTCAAAAACTCATTACATTTAATGATATCCATTAAAATTTAAGCGCTCTGTCGATTTAATAAAATATCGGTAGACCGACATTATCGAAAGCGGATAACGACAGTCCGTCGCGTAATTATGATAATTTATACAAACAATCTCTCAAAATCTTTTTGAGTGGATTAATAAATCTTAATAATAACTATTACCTTCTAACATATTCGTTATCTTTCTCTATCTTTGTTCTGTTTTTCTTATTTACTCTCATAAAACAGATTGAATTGAGTACTATTCTATTAAACTCAATAAATATATTTTAAAACGAAATCGTCTAAGACTGTAAAAACACCAATGAAGATCGTTTCAACGAAATCTCTGTATATTTAAAAAAATATATGCATTTAGTAATAATTAAATGAATTATTACTGTATTTCATTATTAAGTTTAATAATTATTATATTTTTTACTAACTCACTTTTATAAGGCCGACTTACATATATATACATATGTACATATGTATATGGCAATCCTTTGCTACAAAATCTGGGCCTACTTCCGGTGTTTAAATCGGTATGAAGCATTGTAATTGTATACTTCACATGACAATGCCATATTATTTTATCAAGGACGATCATACTAAATTCGTATTATATATTAACAATGTTCTTTAATTTACCCCTTATTTTAGCAAAATAATTTACAATTGTAGCTGTAAAACAATTATTGAGAAAAGTATCGTTCATTGCTTTTCTTGAACAAATTGGAAGTGATATTTTTACATTCGTGTCAAAATCGACAAGCTTCCCATTTTGTGGCTTACAAAAACAACGATTTGAAAAGTATTCGCTTTTGTCACAAAATAGAAAAATCTGACAAAAACTACTTACATTGTACATATTAACAAACAAATGTACCGACTGTCTGTATAAATGATATATTAGCGTCTTGGAGCTGGGTATATAAAAGATTCGGCAAGTAAAAAATAACGGGCGAGTTATATCGCGCTAACTCTTGCAAGCGACCGCCCTTACAATATTACTTACAACTTACCGTAATACACAATAACTTATTTATGATAGTTAAATAAAATATTTCTGAGAAAAACATGTTTAGTTTAATTTTTAATGATCTTATGGTCATCACACGACGCCGATATGTCTTTAAATAATACGGACATATCTTAAATATATTTTAAATTCAAATTATATGTCGTAAAAAATATGTTACTGTATATTATAATTTATAAGTTTATATCATATATAATACATTTTATTATCTCACAATCCTGAGTATGTAGCTATTGCAAACTCAAAATAATGGAACACATTTAATTCAACCATTAACGGACTCTGCGTTCGCTTTTAACAAAAGTTGGTGATTTTCTCGTTCTGTACTAGTATTAATATACTGAGATTAGCGATCAACTGGAAGACTACATTGCTACACGTCCTTACGGATCCATCAGATCCAATAACCCTTGCATTAGACGCCTTCAGCTCTAACACTAGGAGCAGGCTGAGGAACCCCGGTAACCGTACTCGTCGAACTCGACAAAGAGTTCGCCGTGCAACCTAACCCATGAATCAACCCGCTGAGTGTCTTGCCGGATCTTCTCAGCGGGTCGCGTTTCCTATCTGGTAATAGATTCATTCGCGAAGCAGCTGCTCTCGAGTTGTTAAGTCTCCTTCGGAGGCGCTCGGGGGGCTGTTAGCTAATCCCACCCCTCCTGGCTGAGCCTATGCTCGCCCACATGTCGTGGTGAAACTGGAAGGGCTTCAAGGGCACCAGTAATCATAAAAAAACTACATCGCAGATGGTAACTACACAAGGGCCCGTTTATATTAGACTATTCGATATTGCGACTTCAAATGGAGACCTTTTTAGACACAGCCCACAGACAAAGCGCAATCACTCTCAGAAGCCTGAGCCCAGCTATGAGGCACACGAAATCGCCAGCTGAAAGACGATTCTGGAAACCATATTTTTAGAAGGAAATAATTTAACACGATAGCTCTGTAAAAGGGTTGATCGAACCTTTTCTTTTCTGGATAAGAACTCTTTCGACCTCTGGAGACGGGAATTAATTGTGATTGATACTTTTTGTCTCTGGCCATACTTAAGTGTGGTGCGCCAGTTTGGGATATTGGAAAAAACGTGATATGAAAATTCGTGACTGTTAAAAAAAATATAGTCCGGTATTAGTTGACAAATTCACAATAAAATGAACATAGGAAACGCGGTCTGAACTTGTGTTCTGTTACGTTCCAGCCATTTAGCTTACATTAGTATTATCATACCAGCATCTTTGCTCGTAGAACGAATTTTAGCAACGAAATGTTCAGCTTATCAAAAAATATTAGGAAACTTACATCTTAGTTATTAATGTTCTTCGTTTTATGGTAGTTTTTTATTTATTTATTAAGTCGATTTAAATTCTTTGATGTTTTTTAAACATTATAATGCTCTTCTATTTGCTTCATGTTGGAATATGAGAAGTTTTTATTTCTATTCTTAAAGATTGAGTTAAATGTATTTATAAACGCATATTCTTTCCAAACCTTCAGTGTTTATGGTAATTTAATCATGTACTTGCGGGTTGTACTCTTATTATGTATCCTTGTTAAGATCTCGATATTTTCCGGTCTTTGTTCTCTCTATAAAAATAGCGATTAGTCAATTCTTTTTATTTCGATCATGTCATTATTAACCATGATTCAAAGGTTATTGTGTTTAAAATAGAAACGAGAAGTCTGATATTGAAAGAATACATACGAGAAGATCCAAGGGTGAAAGTGTCGGATAACTGTCTATCCAGTCCCTAAAAGATAAAAATAACTAACGTACTTAAAGAACCACAACTATAACTTTATTTCAAGAGGCTCTTAAAGTGAAACTCAACAATGCCGCTTAAGTCGACGAAGTAATTAATAACTTAATCTTAGTTTTGTTGACTTTTTTTTTTCATTGTATCAGGCCTGTGAAATATAAAAAATCATATCGAATTTGATAGGTAAGCAGTCCAAACAAAATAAATAAATAAATAATTTGTGGCAAAAGCCTGGCAGGAAATCTAAGCAAAACGCTGTCTCAAATACCTGATATAATAATTCTATTAACACGGGAAACACTTGAAAACAAAACGTCTGCTTTCAGTAGACTTAATGAATGAACTGATGATTTGTTGCCCAATAGATAGCTTGAGTCTAAATTATTTTAAATTGCATTGGCCTTACTTTGTTTCAACTGACGTCATTCCAATTGTTCATATCAGGCGCAGAGTCCTAACGGATTGACGATGTCATATACTACTTGCGTATGTCAATACGTCCCTATTGAAGCGGTCTCTTTTAAACTATAACTGTTTAATTTTATACGAAAATGAAACCTGTGCAACTGTTAATAAGGTTAACTGTTTCTCCGAAAACTTTTGATGTCTCTTGAGGTATTCTAGAAGCCCTTATTCCATTGATTTAGTGCACATGTGAAATAGTTTGCAGGTAAGACTTGGTGTTTAGTTCGGAAAGTTGTTAATCTTATAGATATCACTTACGTAACGGTAACGGCTTTAAACTAAAATTCTGTACAAAAACAAAGTTTACAACTTTATAGCACGGTTTATAGTGGCTTATTTCGAGGTCTACTTCAATAGATTCATTAATAATTTTTTATACAAATCTGTTGTAATGTCTCTAGGATTTTCAAGGAATACTCGACATTGTGCTTCTCCGTAAATTTCAAATTAAAAAAAAAAACAATTCAAATTCAAAATAAATAATAAACCTATTAAAAATTACTTAGGGTCCCGTTTATGTCAATTTATGCGAAGTTGATACAAAAGATTAATTAATACTACCCATGAACGCTATTGTACATTTACGAGTATGTCGAAAATTAAACAAATGTCGGTGCGTTGAAGCTAGTATTGAAATTTTTATAGTTATTTTTAAACAATCAAATCGTGACGTGATTCTTTGACTTTATAAAAAAGTCTTCTTAAAGCTACAAATAAGACTAACCACGTTCTAGACTCAACGCTGAAGTGAAACTCGATGAATGGTACTAAGTAAAGTTTATTTAAATAACTAAAATCAAATAACATATCATATTAATTGATAAATCAATACAAGTTGTTTTTATTTGTAATTATACTCGTCGTACATCCTAAATTGTGTTAGTGTACAGTAAAAAAAAATCAACAAAATTAATAGTTGAATATATTCGTAACGTCACGTTGTGTAGGTAGATTGTTAAAGCGGAGCCATTTTGGTTTTCATTACAGTTGACTATCATTTCTCGAATCGTCTTTCTGTTTTATGAATTGAATTTTGTTGACATAGCCATATGAGATTTTCGTCTTTAAATTGCATATCTGAGTTAACGAGCTCACTGTTCACATGAAGTCGAAATCGTAATTTTATTGTAAAACGGTCGCTTATACACGACCTTCGAATTGGAACTCATGACTGATTCGCGACAGACACAGATAGGGTAATGATAACTTTACCCCTGAGGGCTCAGAACGGATGGAAATAAAATTATGTTCTCCTAAATTTTTCATACCCTTTGCTGGTGATAGGACCTCATGTGAGTCCGCACGGGTAGGTACCACCACCGCGCCTATTTCTGCCGTGAAGCAGTAATGCGTTTCGGTTTGAAGGGTGGGGCAGTTGTTGTAACTATACTGAGACCTTACAACTTATATCTGAAGGTGGGTGGCGCATTTACGTTGTAAAGGTCTATGGGCTCCAGTAACCACTTAACACCAGGTGGCTCGTCCACCCATCTAAGCAATAAAAAAAAACCTTTTAAATATGTTACAAAAGAAGTCCTTTAATATCGTCAAATCTCAAAAGCGTTAGATTTTAGTTCAATTGCTATATTATCTACTATTGGTACATACATAAGTTTATGACAATATTTATATGTTCGGTTAATAAAAATTGGAACAAAACTCGCGATAAACGATTTTGAAAACGAAATAAAACACGACCTTCATATGAAAAAAGTATTCTTTAAAAACGAGACTATCACGAAAGTTTTTAAATCAATAAATAAAACAATAAATAAAAACACGTTAATAGTGCAACAATTGTTTTTAACGGTAACCTAAATATATTGAATAATATGTCGTGAACGACTTTTGAATTCTCGACGCACCGTTAAAATTGATTGCTGCAACATAATGAGAAATAAAAAGGATTCACTTGAAAACGAAGAAATTGAAGTCGAATTATTAATATTTCAGGTTTAAATTCGAAGAGAACAAAGAACATTGAATCGTGCCACACAGATAAGGCAAGTAGGCAAGGCATTCTTTTTTACGAACCACGCTTCGGGCATTCATTTCATTTTCCTCGGACGGCTATAGACCACGATGTGAGCTCGTAATTGCAGCAACACGTCGTTTAATAAATAATATAATATATGCTATTTCCCTTCTAACACTTGAACATAAGCTAGAACGATGTTGATATTATTTTTTAGAAAAGTACATCGTTTTACTTAAAAACGCGGGTAGTTCTAGATACCTGGATCATATTACACAATAGTACGTGTTTCCGTATATTGTAGTGTTAACAATTTATCTGGTATAATACGTAGATTTCGTAAAAACATGAGTAAGCTTTTTATCATTACCGTGTATGTATACAATGAAAATATTGCCATGTCATTTTATATTTATAATCTAACTATTGTCAATATTTATATTCTGTATTTATGTATTTTACGGTATGATGGCAGTACGCGTCGACAATTTATTTGTAACAAAATATTTTCTGGCTTTACGTAATAATATCCACCGTTCCGAGATAATTATTGGAATTTAATTAACATTTTACGGAGAACGCTTAAAAAGTATTACATTTACTTAATAAAGTATATCGTATCCTACTTAGTCTTTAAATTTGCAAATCTTACCAAATTTCGTCGAGTTTAAAATACATTTCGACAATTAAACGTTAATAGTTAGATAACATGAGAATTCATTGCATGCAAGATGCTGTAGTAGGTGTTAAATTGTTAATTTTCCACATGTAATGTTTTTTTGTAAAATTTTTGCATTTTAACACAGTGGGAAGTGTAACCAGTGACGTTCCGTAATTCAGACTACATATTCATTACACTTTATTTAATTGACCTAAATAACAAACTCGCGTTTATGTAATGTGTGCATGTAGCAGCTCTTTCATATACATACATCAGTACATAATATGATTAATAAGTTCTATAATTCCATGGAAAGTTGTACTAAATTTTCATGTACATTTCATTTATATTTACACACTTTTTAATTTAGTCTTAGTTTATTATTTGCTTAAGACGGAACATTTTGTTAATGCAAAAATGTCTCATTAGTTTTTTAAGGGTTCTTTAATATTTGAATGAATTTGTTGTTGAACATAATGTGCTTGACGCAGTTATTGAAATTGAAATACAACGAATTAATATTACTGGGCCAACAACTGCACGCCACATTTTTGCCATTATTTTAAAAACGAATGGCAGATTACCAAATATACTACAAAAAATTTCATGTATTTTTATGTATACGAAATTTTCATAATATTAAGAAGTAAGTATTACATTAAATTTTGGCTTTTTCAAGAGATGATGAACTCTTGTAATAATAGTACTCATTGTACATAGGTTTTGTTTTTCTTCCTAAATCTGGGAACTACATTATTTAATCTCGTATTAAACGTAAATCGTTTTTATGTTAATATCTAGTGTTTAAACTACTTATATGTAATATCGATATTAAAATTTTTTTTAGTATCTCTTGATGCTCGTCGCCAACTGAGCGTCTTCTATTTACCAAGCGAAGGTATAAGTGTCAAAACTGTAATTTTAAAATTAAAATATCACTAAAAAATACATTGGTCTTACTTTTTTTTCCCTTTTTTATTATTCGAAGGCAGATAAGTTAACCGTGAGATCTCTGCATTATAAAGTTCTTCGAATTATTATATGAATATAAAAGAGGCATATTATGCGTTCATTCTATGTTGTAGTAATGAAAAGTATTCCTGACCTGATAGACGAGATGACTGATGATCTAATACTTGTTCGAGAACAACTTACGAAATTTATTAATTACTGGAACTTGGAAGTACAAGGCGACTGTAAGCCTGCCCTGGTAGATACCACTGTCCCACCTAGTTCTAACCGCGAAGCAATCTTGTTGCGGTTTGAACTATAGGACAACCACAGTTACTGGTGGTAGAACCTTTTGTCAGTCCGAGCGGGTAGGCACCACCACCCCGCCTGTTTCTGCCGTGAAACAGTAATGCGTTTCGGTTTGAAGGGTGGGGCAGCCGTTGTAACTATACTTGAGACCTTAGAATTATATCTCAAGGTGGGTGGCGCATTACGTCGTAGATGTCTATGGGCTCCAGTAACCACTTCACGCCAGGTGGGCTGTGAGCTCGTCCACCCATCTAAGCAATAAAAAAAAGACAGATTTCGAAGGCAGCGTGCGTGACGGCATTTAGCAACGGGCAACGCAAGCTCGTTTAGTTTTTAATGTCATCGTGACCTATAAGATAAGATGCTCGGTACATTCGTATCGAGCCATGCGACTATGTCGGTGTTCGAATCCCGCAGGCAGTTAGTAATTTTTCTAAAGAAATAAAATACGTACGTAACAAATTTTCACGAATGACTTAAGTACACGGTGAAGGAATAAAAAATATTAAAATTAAACACGCGAACATTTTAATAGCGTAATTACTGGTGATAGGACGTCTTATATATAAGAAGACATATAAATTAATAAAGACCACTTTATATTACACATAATTCCATTTATTGAGTCATTGTTTTGCAATACAGTAAAAAATATATAAGATTCATGGAAATAAATGTACAATGGTGGCACTTCACTTGGCGTAGCATCTGCCAGTAGGTACAAGGTCAGATATTTGTTGTATTCACAAACGCTTCGTCCACACAAATTTAAAAGGCAAAAGGCCTTCCAAAGCTCTTGCAGTTGCAATTATTATTTACAGTTAACCAAAAAGGACTGTTATTTGCATTATTTACCATTAAACATTAACTACTGCTTCTCAGCTCATCTCTGTTTTAGGCATCAAAGCAAATATACAAATACGCAAACCCAAGTACCAGCATACGCAACAAATAAGTTATTCAACAAGACCACCTATATGTATACCATGAGGGTCATTAAAAGCAACACATCTTTAGTCTACGACAGTAGGTATGGCCAAATTGTGCCTTATTACGAATACGCACATTGCAATATACGATATAGTTCAGTTTTACTATGTGCTTAGTGCGAGTTTTTTTAACGTTCACGATAGCGTAAAAGTCAAATTTGTAGGGAGTTGGAACGTTTGCCTATGTTTGCCGCTAGGAGCACTGTTCCGGCTGCATACAAATTTCAGGTAACTTTTACGCTATCGAGAACGTTAAAAAACTCACACTAAGCACACCGATTGTAAGGAGTCTTGCGAGCTCGCCCGGGTTGATTTCGCCGTTCTACTTATTTCTGCGCCTGCGCATCCAAATATCTCCAAGGGAGTAGCGGTATACACATTTCCGGGTCTACGGACTACAGTAACCAGACTAGTGTGTGGGCCACTTACACGTGGTGACAACGTGTCTTGACAAAAAGTAAATCAATAAACGAACTGTACAACTGAAATCTACTTTGTTTATGGTTGACACTCTGCCTCAATCATTCCTTCATAGCTTCATAAGTACCTAAGAATCACGATTCTTTAGATGCAGCTCGTTGACTGTCTTTGTCCTGCAATGTCATTTATTAGACAGAGATCTGTGCTGCGATATTTTAGTTCATATCTCAATTCATTGCTTGAGACATCATAGCCTTGTTCTCTTACTCGATTATTGACATATCAATTCATAATGCAAAATGTTTCATTAATAGACACAGATTTTACAAACAGATAAAGTTTCTTATTACCCACATATTTAGATTAAAATCTGAATCATTCTTATGTCTTGACATATTACAATGTGCTTGTATTCTCTTCGTATCTCTTTAATTAAATTTACTACTACTACAAGATTGTTTTATTATTTCAGTTTCTGTAAAGAATTCGACATTATGGATTCACTTATATTGAAAAATTTTATTGTTTTCTTCTTTCTAGACCACATCAGTTAGATTAGTTTTTGCCATCATTATATTTATCCATTCACAAACTCAAATGTTCCGGTCAATGAATAATTAAATCTATTCATAGATATAAAAAGTAGATAAAAATAATACAGTATCCAACACCTATATGAAACACACTACCATTGTCTCAAATATTGAAATCATTTTGAAGGTAATATTAATAGTTAATGTCAGTTACACATACAGTCTACAAAATACTAAGGAATGATTTTAATCTTCCACCTTGATATCTCTTATACAATAAAAAACAAAACTGTTCTAGAGATGCTCGTTTGACAATAAAGATATTTGCAAAATATCACATTTAAGTTTTCTGATAATGTATTACCAATTTTTTTTTGTCTCTTTGTGGATCAGATTGCCAGCAAAATTACAAGAACCACTATTGATCATAAATACTTTCTGTCCAAATTCTTTTTTAAAGAACAATAAGAAAAAATGTACATAAGCTGTATTATTTACAGTTTATGAAGCATATATGTATATATAACACAAAATTGTCCCAGCGAAGAGCAAACATTTGAATATTTACTCCCATTTGCATGTGAAATTAAACATTAGGTAGTATATAATTATTACAAACTGTTGTGTTTGAGTTTTACAGACCATCTGGATTAGATTTATACCTTAAAGATAACAGTAACATTCTGTAATGATTTAATATTAATCATAATTTTTCCATTAAATTATAATTTACAAATCTATAGTAGACTTTTAGTTTGAAATCTTATTGATGAAACATACTGATTTGTATTAATTAATTAATTATTTACTTATGATGCCCACATATAGAAGTAAATGTCTTGCCAGTGATTTAAGTATTGGATTATTGGGCCACAGATCAATGACATCATAGGTATTTTCTTTGAAGCAGAATTAAGAACATTTTCTATTACAGTGTTAGAATATTTATTGTACATGGGACTGCGTAATAAATATAGGACTAAGCCTAATTTTCTTCGACTTATTTCCAGCCTTTGTTCATATGATAACTCTTTCATATACCTATTGTATACTTTGAGACTGGCAATATCAATACTGAGAGCCACAAACCACTGCTTCCAGGCTTTATTTCCAAAGAACCTCATTGCAGCAAGATGAAGTAATGGCTTCAAAACATGTAATGACTCAGCATACAATAAGTCCTTAACCTCAATGCCAGGTACAGGTCTATCATCTTTTATTTTCACTGGCGTCCAATCTCGAAAAGCAATTGGAGGTGCTCCATCAACACGTCTCATAACACGGCCAGACCTGCGAAGCTTAAAAAATGAATTCTCATGCTCTTCAACATCTCGGCCTTCAGTATACTTCTTTCTTTGTAAGAAAGCAACAGGGGGGTGTGATATGGGAAGTTCTTTGAATCGATACAGAAGAATTAATCCGGACGATGCTTTGAAGAGCTGCAACAAAGCTGCAACGGTCCACTTGCCTCGTTGTCCCCATCTGTCTTTGGCAATGAGTTCTACAAACACTTCACTATAGTGAATGATAGTGAGCCATATTTTAATCTGTTCACGAAGTCCATAAGATGAAGTTTCGGCACCGTAAGCGTCTCGAATAAGCCTATCATTATACAATGATAACAGCTTTGACATGCAGTATATCATTTCAGATATAATTGGGGATTTGTTTATTTTACCGGCCACGAAATACGACGTCCATGTAGCAACGGTCTCGACGTCTGTCACCACGCTCGGATTGCTGATCACCCATCGCTTGTACGCAGTGTACACTTCTTGCAACGACAATTTGCTACTCATTTTTTAACAAAAATTATTTATGAATTGGTCAGAATACTTTAGCTGTTAAATTGATTTACCACTAAGGTTTAGTAATTATAACAAGTCATCTGTGTAAATTGACCATAAATATAAAACACTGAACTTTAGAACCAGTCTCCTATCAGTTTACTTTGTTGACAAAAATGACACATTTGATTTTAATGGTTTTCTTTAATAAACAGGCAAAAGAAATCAAACCTATAAAACTTTTTGGTACTTGCAATACCAAACGGAATTTACTTACTGTTTTGTTCAAATGGATAAGTTAAGCTGAAGATAATTCGTACGGCCAAATCGTAATGAAATAATCTTAAATCATAATTTAGAAAATAATTAAATACATTTATTTAGGCTGTGTGAATGTTTACGATATTGGCAAACGTACAATGCAAGAAACCTTTGATTCTCAAATTTTGAATACTATCTATCAGAATTTCTTGTACATTTACATGGTATATTTACCTAATGAAACGATACATCTCTCGTGCATCTTGCGTCTTGAAGTTAATTTTCATCAATAAACGGTAAATTTATAAACTAATATAAAATAATAATAATAATATAAAATAAGTCCTAAATTAATTTTTCGAACCTATGGACATAAGTTAAAGGTTTTTGATATTTCAAAGAACACGAAAAATCTAGAAAGTCTGACTGAAAAGAAAAATAAGAAATTTGTAGATAAAGTACATTTTTTTTTGCTAGAATCAAGATTGCTTGTTGGATTATGGCGAATTTATCATAGTTTTGTAGAAGTCTACTATATCAAAGAAACGTTGAAAGTATAATTAGGAGATATTTGGACAAAAGTAAAAGTATGCAAATGATGCAATAATTTACAGTATATTTTTACCAAATTTTGCTCAACTGTTATAGTAACCGGCAAACATCTTGAGCAAATGACCTTGACTGCGCAGAACCGAATTTTAGATCACTTTGGTGGTGAGGGTGAGGCGCGACGGCAGGGGAAATCGTATCGAGCGCGTTATTGGTAGATCAGTCGAACCTTGCGCCCCGCACCGCACCCTCGTTCCGCTTGCTCCCAAAAGTACGCTTGCGTGCAGTGTAAAGTCTATCGTTATTAATCGTAAAGTTATTTGTTATAATTGCTTGTTGACTTTGTTGCCATTGCTATTTGTTGAGTGTTTGTTGATTTTTTATAAAAAATACACTATGCCGCGACAAACTGGTGTAGTATTCAAAAGAAAGGGTAGAAAAATTGTGTACGACGTATATTGCTTCATTATAAAACAGGGGAAGAATGATATGGAAAAAGTAAAACAGACTTCGGAAGCAAGAAAAACATCAGTGAGTACTGTTAGGTGCATTATTAACGAAGCTAAAGGCTCTGGCTTGCTCACCGTGTTTGGGACTCCGGGTAAGAACAGATCAGGGAAGAAGAAAGTTACCGGAATGGATAGTTTCGTTCAATCTGTAATAAAAAGATGTAATCATAATAACTATTCGGTAGACAGCGGCTTGGCTCTGCCCCTGGCATTGCTGAAGTCCATGGGCGACGGTAACCACTCACCATCAGGTGGGCCATATGCTCGTCTGCCTACATGGGCAATAAAAAATAAAAAACATAACAAGCAGCGAAACTCCGTACCGTAGAAAGGCTTCGAAAAATTTAAAGAAGATATACATTTTAATGGCTCGGAATTAAGTTTACGACGAATTATGAAAGAGCTAGGCTTCAGATGGAAAAAAAAACAGAATATAATCGGAAGCTCGTAATTGAAAAAAGTAACATTCGATTACTACGAATCGAATATCTTCAAAAAATAATTAATTATAGACAAAAAAGAACATCGAACCGACCGAGTTGTAAACTACACCGATGAGCCCTATGTCGACTCATCACGATGATGGCGACTCTGGTGATGAAAACAGTGATGATGATGATGGTCAAGATTATGATAACGAAAAAAAAATTACAAATATCAGCTTCGCTTCAACTGAACGAAGACCTGGCAACAGCTCTAGTTTTGACTTAATAGAAGGAATATCTATTTTATCCCAAGATTAGATTATTACAATTATTAACCTATATTTTTTGTTGATGTTCTAATAAATATATAAATAAATACATATGTTGATTTTAATAATTTAATTCCATTATGACGCAGAGTAAATAATGTTTTTGCACGTGAGTGTACCATGCGCAAACTTACCCCCACTACGTCAACAAATGCTCAAGAAGTTTGCCGGCTATTATATCAGAGATGGAAATGTATTGGTAATAAAATTCATGACAATGTGGATGATATAAGCTATGGCGATTATGTATTTACAAAAATGGAACAACTAATAGCACCATTAGAAACAAGAAATAAAAGTAAGAAAAACAAATTTCCTTAAATTCGAATAACGAGTTATTCTTCGAATTGAGGAATTGGCTTTAAAATCTTATTTATCTCTTCTTCTTATTTATCTCTCTCTTTAATTAATCTCTTACTGGTGGTAGGACCTCTTGTGAGTTCGCACGAGTAGATACCAAAGGACCTACTTCTACCGTGGAGCAGTAATGCGTTTCGATTTGAAGGGTGGGACAGCCGTTGCAACTATACTGAGACCTTAGAACTTATATTTCAAGGTGGGTGGCGCATTCATGTTGTAGATGTCTATGGGCTTCAGTTACCACTTAACGACAGATGGGCTGTGAGCTCGTCTACCCATCTAAGCAATAAATAAAAATCTTCTTATGCGGGAATGATGCTCCAACTCTAAAACACCTCGTTTTTTGCTTTCTCTCTTAATTTATTCATGCATAATCTGCCCAAACAAGAGTGAGAGAAAATACAACTCGAGCAAAACCCATCTTGAGGTAAGGCGATTGAATCTACCGAAGTTGTCCATTTGGACATTTTAGGGTTTTTATAAAATACATTTAATATTCAGTAAACCCTGACTATTTACCGACAGGTTTTTAAATTCATTTCGATGCTACCTACACTAGCCTTTGCCGCTTAAAGTAGTTAGCTGTATGAGCTATTTTATATATGAGCTGTATGAGCTATCTCTTCTTTTGCTTATAAGAAAGGATGAAACAAACATCAAATCTATGATTTATCTGTCAGTATTAGTGCTGCCAACTCAGTGGAATTTCCACTAGATCTGGTGGCTTAGACTTACTTTTTAGCGGACAATTTTCAGATTAACATATTAATTCAGAAATCTCGAATTCATTGTTAAATAAACATGACTGGTTCAGCCGTTCTTCGTCGAAGCAAGCTTCTACATAGAACTATACAAACTTATCAAAGACAAGAAAAACCAGGAAGATGTTGCGAAAGTTGACGAGCAGTGGCGTCAAATTCATTTACTGAGTTGGAAAATGCACAAAATACAATAAATTGTTTGAGCGTAAATATCATACCGACTTGTAGATTTAACCACATTTGCTATAACTTTATTAGATTTACCGCATTTTAACGCTGACGTAGAGCGATTATTTAGCATGATGAACGTTGTCAAGACAAAACACAGAAACTTAATTAAGTTAGATTTGCTATCTTCAATTCTCACTGTGCGTGCTGGCTTAAAACGCGAAGGAAAATGCTGTAATATTTGCATACTACCAAATAGGTTAGTACAAAAAATTGGAATTACAATTGTAAGTACAAATTATCCTGCAAAAACAGATATCGCAGATGAATCCGATTTTTCGGAAGATAGATTTTATTATTTTAGTACTTCACGTATTTGTCGCAAAAATATAGTTTTTCTGGTGGTTTGAGGGTTCGCCAAATTTAGTACAATATGTGGATTCGTTAAAATTAAGTTGGCAGCACTGGTCAGTACTTCAGTAGAGCATTTGGCCTAAAGGTCTAGATACCAGGCCATAAACTCCACAAAAAAAGAAAAAAACAATAGAGCATTACCAAACTCAATAAATCACTGATCAATAACTGCATTGTCGAAATGCGACTAGCTTGCAAATTTACGGAGTATTATTCAACGTATGTAAGAATATAATAACAGAATCAGTTCGCCACAATAGAAACATGAAGCAACTACAACATCTGCGTTCTTCTTGTCCAAAGAAACAAGCATATTAAATCCGCATTGATCCATCAAAATGAAGCCGAAAAAGTGAGTGAAGAATCTTTTTGTTTATCATTCTTATTTTGTTGTATCTATTACAATGCCAATATATTTTAAGCATATAAAAAAAGAGTTAAATAAAGGAATTAAGTATGTACCATTACGCTAAATACACGCGGTTTTGTGTTTATTAAATTTTAACTACCCACCTTCCAGAAACGAAATGGCTTTGTTAGCTGATCAATTAAAATACATACACCTTCAATAAAACTTAAAAAAATATTTTAATTAAGTTAATCTTGCGTTTTTTGGAATTAAATGGATTTAAAAAAAACGTAAGTGCATTATTTTTCCACTTTTAATAAAATTTGTTAAAAGATTTCGCCTGCAAGTCATGCTACTCTATAATTGATGTAATTATTTTTTTTAGTAACATAACTACATTAATTCTTGAAATACATATAATTTTTTAAATTTTTGTTATTTTAATTTTTTTTTATTGCTCAAGTGAGTGGACGAGCTCATGGCCCACCTGGTGTTAAGTGGTTACCGGAGCCCGTAGACATCTACAACGTAAACGCCACCACACACCTTGAGACAGAGTTTTAAGGGTCTCACTTGTAACAGTACAACGGCTGCGCCCCCTTCCAACCGAAACTCATTTCCGATCACGGCAGAAATAGGCAGGGTGGTGGTATTCACCCGTGCGGACTCACAAGACGTTCTTCCACCAGCAATTATGCAAATTATAATTTCGTGGGTTTGATTTTTATTACAAGATGTTGTCTCTTCACTGTGGGAGTCAATTGTGAAGATTTTTTAAGTACGTATTTCATGGGAAAAATTTGTACCTGCCAGCGGGTTTCCAACACTGGTCTATCACTACTGTACTGTAAAGCACTGGATGTCATATCCTATAGGCCACAGTGACTCCTGAATAAATCATTTATAGTTATAGTTTTAACGTTTGTCTGATTTTTATGAGTAAAATATATGTAGCCTTTGGTCCAGGATACTCTAAGCGAAACCATTGTTCTGCATGCGGCTTCTTTTGTTTAGGCAACCTGCAGAAAATAATTAAAATTGGGATGTATTGACAAAAAATATGTAATTATTTAAGATAATATCTATTGATTTTCTTCCTTGAATACTGATTGTATTACATTTCTGCATTTATTCATCTTAATTTTTACACGCTGTATATTAGCTTCACTTGTATGTATGTTTGTAACTGACTCCTTTAGACGCGATTTTGACCCACTTTAAACAGCCAGATTTCATTCAAACTTTGTAGATTTATCGAGGACCGATGACATTACACTAATTTGATAAGATTATTCCATTATTCTATTTGCAAAAAAAAATTACTAAAAAATGAAAAATAAATAATAGTTTAAAAAAACTAAAAAAATACGCTTCATATAAAATTCAACTAAAATATAGGAAATAAATTTTAATTAATTCAAATTGAAAATAGAGTAAAAAAAAAATTGTAAAAAAAGCGTGGGGTGCATTGGTGTTATTAGTTATAAATATTTTTCTGACAGATATGAGTAGAAAAATTATTATTTCAATAATTTCTTAAAAAGCACATGCTTTTTTACAATAAAATATATTTTTTCACACTATTTTTAATTTAAATTTATTAAAATTTATTTTCAATTTTTTAGTTGAATTTTATATAAAGTGTGTTTTTTAGTTTTTTTAAACTATTATTTATTAATAGATTATTTTTATTTATGTTACTTCCTTAAAGGTCAGCTAATATTTTAGGAAAACAGAATTCAACGATTTACATACATTTCCAGACATATCAAGGTTGGTACTTAACAAAAATGACATCTAATATTCTGTTTTGTACAGTGCATGTGCACATATTTGCGGGCAGGTTTCTGATACAACAAATTGCAAGGATGGTGTTTGGGTAACTGTATGACCAGAGCCTAAAAGAGTTAAATCACTAAGCTATGTCAATCTGCAGATAATTACAAGAAATTCTTGCAAGTGTTATGTGATATTCAAGCGAAAAATACCCATTATGTGAAATTATGAAGGGGATTATGCAGGTTATATGTAGTATGTGTACATATATATGCATATGATAGATACATAAATTTACACTCACACACACGCAAACTCACTCACACACTTATTTATATACGAGGGTGGGATGATAAGTAACTAGCCTCTACTATTTAAAAAGTTAAAATTTAAAAAATATATATGTCATTTTTAAATTCGTATCTCTGGCTACCTGTGTTCTAAATTTGAATTTGTTGGCATGAAAATTTTATTGATTTTTTGTCATTTGAAAATATATTTCGTCAAGTGTTTTCAAAATGGATAAAGCTCGATAGAGCGGTGATAAACTTTCTTCATATGAAGGGCATGAAAGGGAAAGATATCTATGACGAGTTAAATAATGCTTAGGGTGAATGTGCTCCTTCTTATGCCACAGTAAAAAAGTGGGTGGCTGAGTTTAAACGCGGTACATGTGTCCAAGATGAAGCCCGCTCCGGACGTCCAAAAAGCGTCACGACTCCGGAAATGGTCGTGAAAGTACATGATATGGTTTTAATAGATCGACGATTTTAGTTATCTGAAACAGCTGATACTACAGGTATCTCAAAAGACCGGGTACATCATATACTAAGTGAGGAATTAAATATGAAAAAGTCATCGGCCCGTTGGGTGCCGCGATTGCTTACGCACGATCAAAAGAGGATTCGGGTGCAAAAGTCAAAAGAATATCTGGACCGTTTCAGAGTAATAATGCCGATTTTTACGTCGATTTGTAACAACAGATGAAACATGGGTTCGTTATCACACGCCAGAATCAAAAATTCAATCAAAACAGTGGACGCAATCGCGATGCCCGGCTCCAAAAAAGCCATGGCTGTAAAGTCGGCTGGAAAAGTGATGGCTTCCGTCTTTTGGGATGCAGATGGGATCTTCATGATAGATTACCTTCCTAAAGGTCAAACGATTAATGGAGAATATTACGCTAATCTTCTAGATAATTTTCATCAGTGTATTCAGCAAAAACGACCAGATTTGGCGAAAAAAAATCATCTTCCGCCAAGACCACGCTAGGGTTTCACACATGTGTTAAAGCTATGGCAAAAATTAACGAATTGAAGTATGATTTGCTGTCCCACCCACTTTATTCGCCTGATATAGCGCCATCAGACTTCCACTTATTCCCTAAGCTCAAAAATTTTTTGGGCGGACAGGAATTTGCTACAAATAATGAAGTCATAGCCGCTGTAGAGGAGTATTTTGCAGGCCTCGAAAGAAATCATTTTATGTAAAGCATTATTGCTTTAGAACGAAGATGGAATAAGTGCGTAGAGGTTCACGGAGACTACGTCGAAAAATAAAATTAATTTTATCACGGAAAGTTAAGTGTTTTATTGTTAGGCTAGTTACTTATCATCCCGCCCTTGTATATATATATAAACTGAGTGTATGCACTCACAGCATTATTTGGTGCTGACACGTACGATAAGTTGGATATTATTTCTCTGTCTCTGCTTTGCTCTATCTAAAATTGTAATTAATGCAAAGTTGATTTGTATCCTTTTACTATGTTTTATTATATAATAATGAACTTAAGCACATGTTTTGGGTAACAAATCAGTTCATTGTGTGTGTCTTTATGCAACCCACACTAAGCAATCCATTTATTAAAAGGAGAACAAGTACCCTCACTAATACACTACAATTTTCTTACGATCAAATAAATTGCCACGATAACAATGCTCCAAACATTATTTCGACTGTTCCTACGTACAGTAGCGAAACTGAAAATTTGCGATATTTTTTTATTGCACTAAGATATTCCTTTTTATGTATATTTTCACACAAAAAAGAGAATAAGCTATAAAATATATATTAAACCACGTTTTCAATGAGTATAATAACGATACTTATTCAACGTAAAAAATCGAATGTTTAATTTCGGTACAATACGCGGATACAAGAAGCGTGCGAGCAGTGTGCTTAGTGCGAGATTTTTAATGTTCTTGTTGGAGAATTGTAAACATAATTTATATTATCTGTAATGTCAAAAATGGTTCACATTTTTGCTCACGAGTGACGCCACCGTCTTTGCTTTTATAGTGTGTTTCTTCTTTTTATTATTTGCATTAAAACCGTTACATATTTTATTCCGGAGTATTATTTTAACAGGTTATGGGCCGCCCCATTAACTCAAAATAGAACTGAAATTAATTTTAGTGCAAATAAATAGAAAATTAAACCAATTAGTTGTAATTGCGACGATAAAACTCATCCGATCCAGACATAATGGCTACGTCTAACCTGCAAATTGAGAAATTAGCCGGCCGGGAAAACTATTCGACAGGGTGATTTGCTATCAAATCATATTTAGAACACGAAGAATTGTGGCAATGTGTTGATCCAGGCACTGATGTCGATGTCAAGAAAGATATTAAAGCTAAGTCAAAGATAATTTTGTTGATGGAACAGATTAATTACATCCATATCGAAAACGCAAAAACATCAAAAGAAGTATGGATAAACCTTCAAAATGCTTTCGAGGACTCCGGGCTGTCAAGAAAAGTTGGTCTATTAAAAGATTTAATAAATACTTCACTAGACAATTGCTCCAGTATCGAAGATTACGCGTGAATAAAATTATGAGTACCGCACATGAATTAAGAAATATTGGTTTCGATGTTGGTGACGAATGGCTTGGAACACTTATGCTGGCGGGTTTACCGGATAATTACAAACCTATGATCATGGGTCTGGAAAGTTCCAGCATTATCATTTCATCAGATTTTATAAAAACAAAACTTTTGCAGGAAGTGAAAGTTTCTGAGTTTACTGCATTCTTTACGAAGCACAGAAATACCTCTAACAATAATTCAAAGCCAAAAGGAAAAGGCCTCTGATGTTATAACTGTAACAAATATGGACATTTTAAAAATCAATGTACAGTGAAGAAATCTAATAATCATAACGGTTTTTCAGCAGTTTTTTCAGCGTACACCACCCTATATCAGGACGAGTGGTTTATAGAT